ACAGAGAGGGCAGGTTCTTTTTCTGTGGGGAAGTGTGGGATGTTATTTTCATCTGATTTATTTTGGTTCCTGATGATCCCCATGCTGATGTGCTAACGAGCGGAAGCAGCCAGGAGCAGTCGTCACCAGCTTTGCCTGGAAGGTGGATAGATGGATGGGCAAGGAGCAACCATCACCAGCCTTGCCTGGAAGGTGGATAGATGGATGGGCAAGCAGGGACTTTGTCCCAAATAGGCCATTCTGGAGTGGAACCGGGGCTGACAGGGCTTGGGGGCAGGAAACCGGTCTGGTCCGAGGGCTAACCCTGACACGCCGCAGCCTCCCTTTCTCAGCTCTGGGGCAACTTTGTGTGGGCCTTTCCTCTCCCCGGGCCCATGGCCTCCGACTTTTACATCCTCACCGCTCTTAAGCTCTTTCAGCCCAGGGCCCTTCAGTTCTTCTACAGCAAACGTGCCCAGCACATCTCAGGCAGATCTCCTCGAACTCGTGGGGTGAAGAGAAAAGTCTGTGTCCTTGGAGTTGCTTACGTCTTTGATACGTGGCACATGGTAGGTACTCAGTACACGGTTGATAACCAAGGAAGGAACTGGTGTGAGTGGGAAGCTTTTTTAGCTCCTCATGTATTAGCTCTCTTAACACATGAGAGAGTTTCATGTATTAACTCTGGTTAATGCTGAGTGTTAACCAGATCCGGTTTCGTTTATTTTCAGTGTTAGGAAGCTGAGGGTGGGGTTTGGGGTTCTCCCACAGTAACTATGCATTCTTAGGTTTCCTTTCCAGGCACACTTGCTCACCTCCACTTAGCTGTTCTCACTCTGTCTGTGCCTGATGTGGTACATCATCTCAGATCTTTTAGGGAGGAAAGTAGGGGAAAAACAGCATCTCTGGAGATACTGTCATGTTTCACTTCAGCCCCTGGATGATGCCTTTTCGGTTGCCACCGGCCAGTTGGCCCCCACATGAAGGGGCTGCCCATCACTTGTAGTCACACCAGGTGCTGCTGGTCACGTGGGCAGTGCCTGGAGGGCGAACAAAAGCCAGTTGGGAGTTTGGTGGGCGGCATGACTGGAAGAGGAGAATTAAGGGGCCAAGCGACGATGAAGATGAGAGACTAGAAAGCGGGTCAAGCAAAGATGAGAGAGCAGAGAAGAGGCGAAGGGGGAGGGGCATAGGATGTAGGCCTCAGCTTGTCATCTGTAAAATGGGGATAATAGGGTTGCTGTCAGGAGTAAGAGTGTTAACACGTGTGAAGTGCTTAGCAGGTAGTAAGCATTATATATAATTGCTTGATGGTAGTGATAATAAATGGGGGTAATATTGCCTACATCACAGGGTTGTCATGAGACTCAGAATGCGAATGTTTTAGCTGCTATTTATTATTCCACTCTTCCAGTTCTTTCAGCCACTGTCCTGTCTTCGTGCTGATGAAGGGGCAGCTGCCAGAAGGAGGCGTGGACCCCTGGGTTCTGTTCTGCTTTGGGGACAGTTTCTCACTGCCGGGTGAGCAGAGTCCAAGCCCCTCACGTTCCCGCTGCCTTGTCTGCCCTGGGCCGCCGTGCTGAGAAGGTAGAGGCTGGCAGGAGGGGTGCAGGAGCGGAGCCAGGGGAAGCTGTGCTGAAAATGAAAGCCTGGGAGGGGGCGCCAGCAGTGCCTGTCTGGAATCGTTTGCGTGAGGAGCTGCCCCAGCCCTGGCTGTCTTTCCAGGGAGCCTCTTCCTCCTTTGTCTCTCAGCTGGTGGTTGGTGGTTCTGGTCTAGCTACTTCGCCTAGCCACTTCGCCTGGTTTTCATTGCCCCTCACTCCTCCCCACAGCCCCCGGCTCCCCCTCCCCGCTACTTCCCTGACTCCTGCTCTGAGGCTCTGTTCATTTTTCCTCCCCATCTCCTGTCGTGTCCCCCACTCTGCCACCCATTCCTCTGCCTTTGGGGGGATCTCCTCCATCTCCCCGCAGTGCTCCCTTTGCCTCATCCCTGTGCCATTCTCTTTCCTCTCTTTCTGGCTCTCCGTCTCCCATCTTTTCTCTACCTGCCAGCTTCTATCTTCCTCCTCCATTTTCTGGCTCCTTTTCTCCTTGTTGACCCCTGTGCTCCTCTCCCACAACTTCACTCCCCTGCTCCCTCCCTTTCTCTGGCCCTCAGCAAGAGCACTCCCCTGTCAGCTTCTCTGCTTGGATTTAGGGTCCACTGCATAGCCCTTGTTTGCTCGATGAAATACTAGTAATAACGAGACTAAAATTTAATGAGCACTTACTATGGAGAAGGCTCCACTAACACTGCATTGACATATGATCTCCTGTAATCCTCTCAGCAGCCCTGTGAGGTCAGAGTATTATCGTCCCCATTCTGCAGATGAGGACAGTAGGCGTAGAGAAGTTAACCTGAGAAGGTCACAGTGAGTGACTGTTGGGACGTGGATGCAGACACTTAGCCTGTCTGACTAAGGAATCAACACTGGCCCTGGGAGACTGTCCCCACCTCCTCTCCCAGTGAGGTTAAGAGAGCCCTCTTTCTTTATACATGACCTTGGCGCCCCCAGAGCCCTCCCAGGTCACTTGGTGCCTTCTCCTTTCTCTGTACACAGATCTAACACAGCCTCATGAGCTTATTCTGTATGACAGTGCCACTAAGGGCACACTGCCAGGCCCTGACCTAAGCAATTCATGCACACCATCTCCTGTAACCATCACAATAACTGTGCGAACTAGCTAGTGTTCTCATCCCCATTTTACAGATGAAGTAGAGGCACGGGGGAGTAACTTGCCCACAGTCGCACAGTTAATAAGTGGCAGAGCCAGGATTTGAGCCCGGGCCTTGTGGGTCTAGAGAACCTGCCCTCCTAACGGTGACGCTGCTTCATCCGGCTCCTGGGACCACAGGTTGGGGTCTCCCAACCATCGTTACTAGCCCACCTGCTTTGAGAAGTCCTCGTGGGCCATCCCATCCCTTTGCTGCAGCTTGTTTCTGTGGGCACTGCCCGCTGTGGTGTCATCTCTGCCACCAGCGCTGACAGCTCTCGAGGTCTGGTCAGGCTGCCAGCCCTAATCTGTGCCTGAGGGGATTTATTGGCTGCCACCCCCAGGGAGCAGGGACAAGTGTTTTCCTCTCCAGCCCTGCTGTGCCACCTCCAGCCCGACAGCTCCCGCGTTCCGGCCCATCGCGGCGGCTGATTTACCTCTGTGGCTGGGGGATTTAGCTGCTGTCCCGGCTCCTACTATAAATCCTGGGGCAAATAACTGAGCTCTGCATCAAAGTGGCCGACAGGGGTGCGAGCGGGAGCAGATGGCCGCTTTGGCCATGGGCTGTGGAGGGTAGGGGCAGCCAGGGAAGGCTCCACGGCTTTCTTGTCCACCCCTGGCCACGGGGCCAGGCTGCGCCTCGTTCAGGCCCACCGGGTCCCCCCTCAACTTTCAGAGGACTTAGCTGCCTGCCCCCTCCTGGCGTCTACGAACCCTCAGCACCAGCAGGTTCTGGGTGATGTTGAGTCCTATCCCGCTGCCCCATCTGAAGTCTATTTGCCTGGCGTCGCTGGAGAAGGAGAGTGCTGACTGCCACCCCTGGGTTTGATTATGCTTCAAAGAGTGGAGCATTGCTTGGTTTTCTGGGGCCCCGTACAGCACATAATGGACATAAGTTCTGCCCTCCGAGAGAGGCTCAAACTGAAGCAAGAGGTGGTAAGAACTTCCCAGCAGGAAGGGGTGAAAGACCCCAGAATGTAGGTAACCCCGAGTAGGGGCTGAGGGAAACCTCCAGAAAGCAGGCCAGAGTTGGCTTGGTTGAACCCCAAAGATTAGAGTTACTTCCTAAAAGTGAAGGAGGGAGGGTGGTTGTAGCCGTGGCCTGGACTCCAAAACCTTCCACGCTGTGGTCCAGACTCAGGAGCACAACATGGTGGCTTGGGGTCTACGCTGGCTCAGGGGACCAGTGTGGGTAGGGTCATCCTCTGTCAGTGCCCCTTGTCTTCCTGGCTCCCTTCTGCCATCCTTCCTCTGATCCCTCCAGCATCTTCTCTCTGCCGCCCTACCTCTTCCCCTCAGCCACTTTCCCCTGTTCACCTTATTCTTTCCCCTGGTCCTGTCTCTCTGTCTCTTTGTCCCCAAAAGGCTCTTCTCTCGCTCTGCTGACCAGTCAGCGCTGGTGGGGTTGGGCTGAAGCTCCGGGCTCTGGTTCCACTCCTCGGAACCTTGCTCAGCCTGGAGCCTGTCCCCGGTGTCCGTACATTTCGTGCACACTCCTCATCCATCTTCCCCGTCCCCCGCCCTACACCCGCCACGGCCGCCTCCGCCTGGGAGATTACAGACACTGAATCAGCAGCCGGCTCCCGCATTCTGCTGACGGGGGACTTTCTGCCTCTGAGGGCTCCTTGGTGGGATCAGGGACCCTCCTGGGGCCTGGGGATTCAGAGTGGGGGGAAGGAAGGGTGGGCGGAGAGCAGGTGGCTGGAGAGGGAGAGGGGAAGGGCAGAAGGTAAAGGAGAGAGGGAGGAGAATGGAGAGATGGAGGGAGGTGGAAAAGAGGAGAAATTTGGAAGAAGAAAATATAGGAAAGATGAAAGAACAGTGAGGGACAGGGAGCAAGCAGCAGAGGGTGGGCAGATGGGAAAGGGTGCGGGGGGTGGGGGGAGGGTGTGGAAATCGGGTGAGGGGCTGTTCACCAGCCTGTAAGCCGGGGCCCAGCTCTGCTCTCTCACCTCCCCCGGTGCCCAGGCAGGCCCTGGGGAGGCCCAAGTTCATTGGGACCAGGCTGCGAGGTGCAGGCTGGGCCCCTGGCCCCGGGTCCGGGGCTCTGCCTTGTGCCTCCCTCTCTCCCTCTCACGTGGTGGTTTGTACTTCATCTTGTTTGCGGGGCGGCTGGGCCTGCTCTCGGGGTTTAATGATCTGTGCCATTATTTATAGCTTTGCGCGCCGAGAAACACACTGAATTTATCGCTTGCTTCTATAAATAACCCTGGCAAACGGGTGCCCAGGGAGGAGGGTGGGAGGGGGAGGGAGAAGAGAAGAAAGGGGAGGTGGGGGCTAGGACAGGGGAGGTCTCTGTGGACTCTGTCCCAAAAATGGGGTGACGTGTGTGCTCGAGGACAGCAGAGGATGGCAGGACTGTTTAAGTGTGGATGTGTGTCTCAGGGCAAGTTAATACACACGGGACAGTGTGCCCCTGTGACGAGGGAGTGTTTGCCTGTATCCGAGGGTGTATGTGACTTGACTGTGTGTGTGTGTTTGTGTTTGTCTCTGGTGCCATGTTGGTGGCAGTGAGGTTGAAAAAGCATAAGGCAGCCGGCCCCAAGGAATGGCTGGCCTATAAATGGACGTCCAGTGGGGCTGAGAGGCAGCAGTGACTGGAATCAGGCTCTATTCCTCTATGGATGGGTTGACCGAAAAAGACTGCGAGACTGTTTTTCCTGGGTTCCATGGCAGAGGTGAAGGAGGAAGAAGTGAGGCTTAGGAAGCAGGCTGTGTGTAAGTCTGTCTCTGGGTCAGGCTGGGCCAGTGGGAGTGGGGAGGCTCCTAGCATCCTATGGAGCAGACGCCAGGGTCATCTGCTCCAAGATCCAGAGGGACTCTGACTTTTGGGGTTGGTGGATGGAGAGGTTGGGGAGCAGGGGAGTGTGTGCTTGGCTGCAACCCTCCTCAAAGGACCCTGCTGGCAAGGCCTGACCCAGGTTGGGGTGGGGGGCCGCTCCGGCCTACCTGCCCAGTCAAAGCCAAGAGTCAGAGCTGTGGCCTGCTGATTCTGCTGTGCCTGCCCTTCGCCCTACCATGGGCTCCACACCACCCCCAGGACAGCCCAGGACCAGTCTTGGGGAATAAGAGCCCTGGCAGTGCTCAGCCAGAGGGCAGTGGTCCTGCTTCCTCCCTCTCCCCCAGCCCCGTCTCCTTCTGCTCAGCACTTCCACACACAACCGGCTGCAGCTATTAGCTCTGCATCTCTGATGAGGACATTTGCATATATAACGAAGAACCTTCACAGGTGTTGGAGAAACAGCTCCTCCTCTCATTTCCCTCTCCTCTCCTGCCAGCTGCCACCCTGACCTGTGGCTTTGGGGGTGTGGGATCCCTGCCCACTCAGCTGGGAGATGTGCTGAGGAGTCCTGGGTGCAGGAAGTTGCGGTGGTTCCTGCCCCTGGGTCGGAAACAGGCAAGGTGAAAGCCCATTGTGTCAGTGTGCTGGGACAGACCCAACTATACGTGTACGTGTGTGAACATCAGCCTGTGCACAAGCACAGAAAGAAGGTCAAGGTCAACATGCCGTCCCTGCCCAAGTGCTCTGCAGCTCCTGGTAACGTACGCAGGTCAGTGTGAGTATGCAAAACACGTCCCAGGCTGCACCCACACTCTGTGCCATGCACGCACTGCCAGCACATGCTCCTTCACACTCACGCCCTGGCACCAGCGCAGGCAATTAGAGAAAAATGCACCTGCACCGACACTTCCTCTCTCCAAACAGAGCCCCTCCCTCCCTCCCTCCTCTCCTTTCTCCCATCAACCCTGACCACAGTGTTTCTCATGGAGTCACCAGTCCCTATTCAGGCTGGAAAATGACTCCCTCAGCCCCACACACTTATTCAGACCCATTAAGCACACAAGAGGCCATATTCTTTAAAAAAAAAAAAAAAATGAGTAAGAGGAGCCCTTGTACCCTAGATAAGTGGCATTGAAGGGGGAGAGAAAATGCCACAGCCAGGGTGGCTGGTAGGGCTGCGGGCTGGGAACTAGGGGAAGGTGGAGGGTGTCTAGGGAGGAGCAGAGACAGGGCTAAAGTGTCTACAAGGTCCTTCTCAGGTTATCCCCTCCAGCCCTCTCCGACTCTCCCCGACTGCAGACCAGCCAATGCCCAACCCCACGGCCTCCCCCCGCCCTCCTGTTGGTCCGGCTGAGTCACGTGACCCTCTCCCTCTCTGACAGCTGCCCCTGATGATGGATGCGGCGGCTCAGCTGTACCTGTTGGGGGACAGGGACTGCACAGATCCTAATTACCTCCTTCTCCAGCCGGGGCTGGGGGCTGGGCTGGACGATGGCTCCGGCCTTGCTCCACGGGGGCTGAGGCTGGCATCCTGAGCTGGGGCCAGGCCTAGAGGAAGGCATTCCTTGGACTCCTCTGGGGTGATGGGGATGTGGGGGCACCGGCCTGGGGTGTAGATGGGGGGAGCGCTTCTGGAAGGCTGGTAGAGGGAACGGAAGCACATCACAGCTACTACATCAGGGGCCTGGGGAGCTGGATAGGACCTTGAATAAATGACCTTTCTCCAAGTCCTTCCCACTGGGCGTGAGATTCAGGTTAAATGTGGAGGAGAGCTTCCTGGCAGCAGGGACGAGATACACTTGAGCAAAAGACAGCAGTGCGGAGGCAGAGGTTTGGAAGACTTCTCCGAAGCCGAATCGGATCATCCCTTTCCTGCCCGGTGGGAGGCTCACAGCAGACAGCCGCAGAAGAAGTAGGCTGGAGTTAGGGCAGCAGGACCTGAGGGAGGACTTGCAATGGCTTCTCGGAGGGGTGGCGCTGGGGGACCTGGACTGGATGTTCTAGTAGGTTGTCAGAGCTCAGCATGGGAGGCTCTACATCTGGGCTGGCTTGGGGAGGGACCGGAAGACCTCAGGACCGTTAAGATGTCAGAATCCTCCAGGCTTCTCCACAGGGGCCCCAGAGTCTTAGGGGGCAGACACACGCCTCAATGATTCGCCAGTGCAGTAGATGCCTGGTGGCTGAGTGCCCAGGCTGGAGGGGGGCAAATGGGGGCTATGGAGGGAATGGACCTCTACGAGATTTGTTCTGACTCCGAGGTCCTATAAATCCCCAAGTTAGGATTCTCCATGGGTTTCAAGAAGGGAAACCAGCGAGGAGTGAGCAGAGAGCTGGTGAATTGCCCCAGGACTCCTGGCCACTAGGCCCCTTTCCCTGGGTCGGTGGGTGTGATGGAGTGGCTGTGATAATTGCTAATCACTATTAATTGATACTGGAGGTCACAGTAATGACAGCCCCACCAGGATTCATAGTCACAGTCCCCCCATCTTTGAGGTTTCTCTGCTGAGGGAAGACAGGGAGGGGTGGCCTAAGCCCCTTGGCACCCCGGGTCCCAAAGGAGGACAAAATGAGACAGCGGTCCAGGTAAGGCAGGTCTCCCCTCACCTCGGGCAGTGCTGTGGTGAGCAGGAAGGCGAGGGGCAGGCGGGCTCCTAATGCCCCCAGTGCCCCCTCTTCTGAGTGGCTCCCCTCTCTCTACTTCTCTCTCTCCAGGGCATTTTCCCCTCCTCTCTGAGTTTACATGGGTCCCTGTTGGTTGAACTGTCCTCACCAGCAGCGTCACCCTGTCCTCCCAGCTGCCTCTCACTGCCCTTCTGAGCTCCTGGGCTGCTGGGTGGTCAGCCCTCTCCTTGCCCCGCTCCCCGTTTCATGACGCCTGAGTGTCCGTCACTGCTGGCATGAGATTTGGGGGAAGTGTCAGGTGAGGAGGTGCCCACTCTGCTCCCGGGTGAACATCTCTGCTTCTGGGAGAATGTCTTCATGTGCCTGCTGGGGTGCAGGCCCGCAGACTGTCTGGGGGAGGTGGCCACGCTCCTGCCCATTCTGGTTGGTAATAAGAGGGAGACAGAAGGGGTGGGCAGCTGGCCATCCATCATCCGCCCCTGGAGCAGACCAGGGTGGTTTTGTGAAACCAGGCTTTCCTGATCTTAGCATCACACTTATGTGTGCACACATGCACAAATGCACCCCCCCTAGAGACAGCACACTGAGACTCACACTGACATGCTTGGTACCGCGGGTTTTCTCCCAGACAGTCCGCCCTGGGAGCTGCTTCCAGGGTAAATTTCCTAATAGACCTTTTAGCACAGGTCCCCCTCCTACCCTGGGTGCAAACCTTCCATGAGTCCCCGGTGCCCGTGGGGTGGGGCTCAGACCCCCTAGCCTAGCATCCAAGGCCTTCTCTGACCTGGTCCCAATGTGACTTCCCAGCCTGGTCTCCTGTGATCCTCCCACAGGAGTGTCTTCCTAAAGAAGACAGATTGTGTGCACTGACATTTCCTTCCCAGCAGGGTCACCCGGGGATGTGCCAGCTCCCCCTCACATCTCTACTGAGTTAGGCCCGCCTCCTCCAGGAGGCCCTTTTGACTGCCTCAGCTTACAGCAACTTCCTCCTTAGCTCGGACCTCGACACGTGTAAGTCTTTCTACAGGTTGGGATGGGAAGGCCTATCCCCCCACTTCTGAGTCTCTCAAGGTGGGGCCCCTATTTATTCATCTTTGTTTTCCCTGTGCCAACACAGCATCGGTGTGTGTGAATAGCTGAGAATCTGGCTGTTCTCAGGGGAAGAGCATTCATCTGAATTGGATCAAGTCCCTCCTCTGGCTCTTCCTGGCTGTGTGACTCTGAGCAAGCAGCTCACCTTCTCTGGGCATCAGTTTCCCAATGCTATCGTGAGGAGTTTTGGCTTCACTACTCTAAGATTCTGTGTTTCTGTGGGGATGAGGATGGAGACAGACAGGCTCAGGTAGATCCACAGATAGCCTCTTTCAACATGGAGGGCAGGAAGGCTGGGGGCGGTCACTAGATCAACAGAAATTAAACTCAAGAGTTCTTGACCCAGGAGAAAGCAGACTGATGTCAGGTCGAGACAGATCCATGAGGTCTTGGACTACTTTTTCTTCTTGTGCTCTCGGTTTATTCATATGAAAAATAGGTCCGTGTTCCAGGCTCCTTTGGGGCATTAGAGGAGAGGAAGTAGGTGGAAGCTGAATTCATGCGCACAGTACGTATAGGACTCAGTTATTGGGGAGCTGTGTGTCTGGGTCCCCTTCCCTTCCCATTTCTCCTGGTGCAGGCTCTGTTCTGTTTTTGCTCTCCTTGATTATTGCCCGGGAGAACCCATACTCACCTCTCCTCTAGTCAGCCAGGGGCTTGGCATCAGGCCTTGGTGGGGTCCCTGGTCCGCGGCCTGCTGGGAGGGTCTGGGTTGCAGAACTCCCCAGTGAGCTTCCAGTTAGCGCCTCGGGTGGAGTCTCCTGTGCAAACGCTGCTATGCAGGCGTCCTGAGATTTCCCACCACTCTGGTTCCCATATCCCCAGCTCCCCTGCCTCCAGGACATCCTGCCCCCATCTGACCTCTGGGATCTCTCCCAGCCCGAGACATGTCCCCCTTGCCTCATCACCCTTCCCTGGGAATACTGAGGCTGGAATTGTCCGTAGCAGCCTGGAAGATTCCTCAGAAATGTGAGGGAGGGGAAGGGAGCTTGAGTGAGGGGAGCCCCATCCTATACATTCCGGCCCCTGGCTCCCCTTTGCTTCCCACGTCACCCCTGGGAGAGGGGTGGAAGCAGGCAGCAGAGTGCACCCCCAAATTCCTTTGCCTCAGCCTCCACAAGATCTTAGAGGCAGGGAACTTTCTTTGCAGGGAGCTGAGGGTACCCCAGGGTCCTGCTTCCCACTCTGATCTCCAAGGGCCATGGTGCATCCAGACTCCGGCGGAGTGGCCGCTCTGTTTACAGTGTGGGAGGTTTGTTCCAACTGACGCCTCTTAGCCCAGGGCTCTGGAGGGAAGGGGCGTCGGACCGTGGGAAAGTGGAAGGAGAGGAACCAAGCCCGGCTTTGGAAGGAGGTGGGTTGGTGACTTTCCCCTTGGAGCAGCTGGGAGGACCTGGTGAAGTCTAGCACTTTGCCTAGGGAAGAAGGACCCTAGAAAACAAGTCGAGGGGTCAAGAGGGGGAAACTGAGGACAGAGAAAGGAGCAGTTTGTGGGGGGCTGAAGTTGCTGGGTATGAGAGCTAGAGAGAGCTGAGAGCAGAGAAGGCTAGTTGGGACTCAGTGAGAGGGCTGTGGCTGTGAATACAAGTGTCGGAGTAGCCGGGTCATAGTGAGTGTGAGAGGGCCCTAGAGGCTGGGGCTGAGTCACAATGTTCCCTTTTTATAACAGGACCTGGCCTCTGCTTTCGGGAGGCCCAGAGACGGAGGAGGGCTCGGCGAAGTCACACAGCACTTGCCTCTCACCAGGGGCTGTCCTGGCCTGGCTTTCTCTTGCTCGTAGTTTCCCAGCCACTTTTGATCTGATTTTTAAAAATATACATTCTCTACTCTCCACCATCTCTCCTGCTTTCTCCAACCATTCTCCCCCCTAAATAATTATGTATGAACTTTGACCCCGGGAATCCGCTTGGGGGGAGCATTTTGGGAAAACATGATAGAGCCTCATAAAGAACTCCAACAGCTTGCAAACAGCCTGTGCTAAATTGCCCCTTCAAGTGAAAATTAAAGCAAATGTCTGTTTTATGGCCATGTTTTCTTGGGCTGCAGCTATGGCGGAAGTGCGGGCGGCTCAGAGCACGGACTGCGCAGAGGGTGGAGGCATTCTGGGTGGTGGATACGGGGGCAGGCGGTGGCCGCTAGTGCTGCATGGAGGCCCTCTGGTCCCCTCCCTGCATCCCCCCCTTCCCCTTTTCTGGGCAGAAATGATGTGGAAACAACCCTGTCCCCAGAAAGCCCGTCTGCAGGCCCTTCCTCCACTCCCGGTGGGGCTTTGGAGAGTTCTCGCTCTTTCCGGGGCTCCAGCCTGCGGGAGTGGCAGTGGTGGAAGCGTGGGGATCATCCCGACCAGGGGCTTGGCCTGGGGTCTGTGACACCCCCGGTTTCTCTGGTCAGCCTCTGGGGTTGCTGCTAGGACAGAGTGAGGGAGCGCTGCTCAGCTCCAGACCAGCCCCCTTGCAGTATTTTCTCCAGAGCTGGTCCACCTGTATGTATTAGGATTCTGAGTGACGATGGTTTGAAAAGAGGTTTTAAGGCGATGATGCTGATGGTAGCAGGGACGATGAAGGAAATCACTGGTCTACTCTAATCCCTTACTGCACAAACGAAGAAACTGAGGAACATCCTTGGATTGGGTGAAAGGAAATCTGGGCTCTGATTCTGACCCAAGTCACTACCCCTCTCTGGGCCTCAGTTTCTTCATCTTTAAAACCAGATGATCAGATTCCACGAACTCCAAGGTCCTTTTCAGGCCTATGAAACTAGGTAACTAAGTACATAATAGTGACAACCACAGCCCATGTTTATGGACCCCTAGAATGTGCCACGTCCTAGGGGCTATGCATTTTCCATAAGTCATCCCTCTTTAAGACTCAATAACTTGATGAGGTATCATTAATTCCATGAGATCACTAAGGCACAGAGAGGTTAAACAACTTGGCCGAGGTCCTTCGATCGCAAAGGCAGAATCTGAACCCCGGCAGTCCCTCTCCAGGGCCTGGGCCCTCAGTCTCTCCCCACGTGAGGACTGGATCCAGATCAGCCAGGGGCGAGTGGGAGCCAGCTGCCTGACCTCCGGGCCAGTGCTCCTTCCACGGGCCCAGGCTGCCTGTTCGGCCAGGGCAGGGCAGGCCTCGGGCTGTCTGGAGGCTGCTGGGGTCCACTGGACTCAGAGCTGTCAGCATAATGATCAGCGCACACCTTGGAGAAGGGGGCTTCCAGGCAGAACAGGGCTTCTTAAAGGAGCCTTTGAAAGAGTGAGAGGAGCCTTTAGGTTTGTTATGAGGGACTCCGGGAAGCTATAGGGTTCTTGATCAGGGCAGCAACTATAGGATATTATGGAAAATCCCCTCCTTGCCCCTCACGCAGTGGCCTGCCCACCCAGGAGTTCCTGCAACAGGCAGCCAGACTGGCCTAGCCTGTAAGCCACTCAGCGCCCGCCCCTCCGTACACAGTGTCCCTTCCACCCATGATTCCAGTCTCTTCTCAGATGCTTCATCACTAGAACTGGATGTTAGATCTGGCTTCTTCTTTAGAAGACAATTTATGGCGACATGTCGGAGACTCTGTTTTAATGAAGTTGCAAAAGTAGGTTAATGGGCTGTGGGTGTTTTTCATTCCCCTCCCCCTGCCCCATCTCCACCCCTGGGCGGATGAATGATGCCTCTCCCAGCACGTAGGCTCGCACATCTCTTCCTCGGCCTCCTGCTCCACTCCGCAGCACTCCTCCTCCCTCACGCTTGGAAGGCGCTCCGAATGTCTAGCCCCAGCCCTTCCTGCTGTAGCTGTGGCCCCAAAGATGCTCCAGTGTCTGCCCAGAGGGAAAGAGCATGGTATATTTGAGTGGTGGGGACAAGGGCTAGGGCTGGAGCAGGGGGGTAGGTCCCTGGGGAAGAAGGAAGCTGGAATTATGGACAATGGCCTTCTTTTGGATTGGAGAGGCATGGGGGTAGAAGCTTAGCTAGTGTGCACCTGAAGGACTTTGCAAGTTTTCGGGGAGGAACTGAGTTTCTGGGAGCCTCCCCAGTTGTCCCTGCCTCTCCGATTCATCTCCGTGTCTCCTGGTGCCAGGCCTGATCCATGGTTGCCCTCACAAACGTTTGCTGAGTGAATGATGGATACAAGAGTGAATGACTCTTCTTTCTCTACCTCAAGTCTCCAGGGCTAGAACTCATCCTCATCCTTGCTTCAGAAACAGTCCTCAGCCTGTTCCTGCTCAGGACCGCTCCCTTTGCCCCCTCTGCACAGTCCTCACCCCACACTCCCAGCTCTCTGGCAGTTTTCCATTGTTAAGCTGCAAGAACAATTCTCCATTTTTTTTCCTGGGTCCAAGATGAGGGTCTGTCATCCCTGGAAGACTGGGGTCTCCAGGGGGAAGCATCTATATCTTTTCCCTCCAGTTGGTCCCCTGCCTCAGCAACACCCAGGCGGGGCTCCAAGATTGACCTTGGATCTCAGAGCTTGGTTGTTGTTGGGGACACACACCTTGGAGGACCATCCTGTTGCCTGGGCCCTCTCTCTGGTCCTTCCTCTCTCCAGAAAGCTGGTGGCATGCGCAGTTTCTGGCCTGCAACCACTGCCAGGATCCTTCTCCACTCCCAGCCCTTTGCCATCAACAAACAAGGCTGTTGGCCAGGGATTGGGACCTGAATACCAAGATGGGGTGGAGCAGGGCCTTTCTGCCCTGCAGCCTCAGATTACCCCCACTTCTGGGCACCTGGGCCACCTCTGTCCTCCCCGCCCCCATGCTTTCTTTCACAGAAAGCTCCCTCCCCTCTCTGGGCACAGGCAGAAGCACAGGCCTGTGGTCTTAGAGTAACCCCATAAAGCCCAGAAAACCCCACCATGGTCTCCAGGGCCATGCCACAGTAATACCCCAAACCCTACATCAACGTCCCGAATCTACAGTAACACCCCAAAACCCTGTAGTGACACCCAGAACCACCCGGCTCAGGCAGTGCTACAGTGCCACCCCAGGCACGGCACAGGGGCCTCCTCAGGCTCCCTGCAGGAGCACCTGTGCCTTCCAAGCTGGCCTTCCTGCTCTGCCAGCAGCTTTCTTTCCTGGCCCGGGAAAAGTTTCTTCAGGACTCCAAGCCCTCCCTGGACCTTGCTCCCAGCTCGGTTTCGCCAAGGTGGAGGGAAGGGCGGTACACAGGGGAGGATGTGGGTTGGGTGGAGCATGGGTCAGTCAGGGTCCAGTAGAGGGACCCAGTTGTCTGCCACCTTGTCAGCATGTCCAAGGAGCTCAAGCAGAAGACCTAGAAGTTAGACCTTGGGAGGCCCTGCCTGAATCGGTTGGTCCAGTTTTATTCCGAGATGGGTAAGCTGAATGAGGATGTAGCTTTTTTCACTCGGTCCCAGCTGAAGTCCCCCCGTCACGTGAGATGCTGGGGAAGGGGTCTGAGAGGACAGCAGACATCATGTCCCCTAGAGAGCCAGGTAAACCCAGAGCCTTGAGAATTTACACCTGATGTGGGAATCCTGGGGCGTCGGTGGAAATTTCCACAGAAATGAAGAGGAGACAGGACTGCTGGGGTCCCAGGACCATGGAAACCGTATGCTGTAGGTACATACACACGTCTATGGTGCACCTCTGTTTTGGGCCTGCATCAGGGGTAGGTCTGGGAGGGGAAGATGATGGAGGGTTGGGAAATGGCCCCCCCAGAGGGAGGACACACAGGCCCGTTCTCTGGTCTCTGAGAGGGAAGAGACTCACACTCAGAAGCCCATTTAGGAATAGCTGGAGGGGGTCCTTCAGTGCAGGGAGAAACAGAGGAAGGAGGAATCAAGGGTTTCAACTCAGGAGGGCTTTGTGGAGGAGGAGAATGGGCAGCAGGATCAGAAAAGAAGGGAGGAACAGAGTTGGGGAGGGTTCTGGGGGGACTCTGGCCCTCGCGAGAGCTACTTCTAAGGCTGCGAGGCAGGTTTCCTTGCTAGACTGAGAGTCCAACCTGCAGCCACCAGAGGTCGGGTGTAAAATTCTGAGGAGAATGAAAGAGTGTAGAGTGTGCCGGTGGAGTCAGGAGACTTGGGGACTCCAGGCTCTGCCCTTAACCCTTGACCTTGAGCAATTCACATACTTGTAGTGTCTTCTTTCTCTAGTCTGTAAAGAGGGGATCAGAACATTGAGCTTTCTTGATTTTTTATAAAGCTTTTCTGGTGGGTGGAAAGACACCTGGCAGGAGGCTAGCTGGGCCCCCCCCCGGTTTAATAGGTTGAAACAGTGTCAGCCCCTCCCTCCATCTGATATTTGTTCCCTAATTTTCAAGGTCCTTACAAGAATCAAATGAGATCACGAATGCCAAGAAGCTTTGTCAGAATATAAAGCAGCTCATAGTGTGAGGAGTGGAGGGGCTGCCTGGGGAGGCAAAGGTGTGTTGAGCTGGGCCGTGGGCCGCACCTGGGCTGCGAGCCCTGCAGGGGAAATGCAGGGAGCCCGGCTCAGGTTCAGGCCCCCTCCCCACAGCCATGGGGACACCAGCCCTTCCCTCTTCCCAGCCCAGCCCCGGGCTCTGGGGACCAAGCCCTGCTCAGGATGGGGGTGGGGCTCCCAGGGGCCGGACAGAGGGGGCGGGAGCCTCCCTCCGAGTGGCTCCGAGCTGGAGCACAGCAATTACGCAGGAGGATTTATGTCCCTTTGCCTTTAATCGGAAACTCCGTGTCAAGAAGAAAAATCTGCTCTGTCCTCAGGCCCGGCTTCCTGCTTTATCATTATTATTGGAGGAAGGTTGATTTGGAAACTTAAAGAAAAGTGGGGTGGGGGGTGGGAGCCACCAGGGAAGGGGAGATGTGGGGCAGAAGGGTGGCCTTCCTACAATTTGTCCTGTTTTGTCACAAGAAGGAGACAAAGGGCAGGACTGGGGCTGGGGTCCTAGAGAGCAGGTGAGAAGAGACTAGAGGGACACTAGGGGAAGGGGAGGGCTGGGGGTCATGGAAGGAAGGGGCATCTGGGGCTGGGGAGACACCAGGAGGGAGGGAAGGGGTGGGCAACCACAGGAGACAACCAGGGGATGAAAGGTGTTGGG